CACAGTTTTATGTGAATCATAAATCAGAAAACCAATTGTATGGAAACTGATTTTAAGGCTCAAAAATATTATTACTTTGTTATAAAGTTGCATAATGCTTATTTCAAAGATTAAGACAAGTAGTCAGTACAATAAAGTTGCAAATGGCTCATTAAAAAAGTTATAGCTTAATGAGACATAATTGATATGTCTTTAATATGTACTTAGACATATTTAGATTTTTGATTTTTTTTCTGTTTTATTTGGTAATCTGGAGGTATAAATACACTGAAGTGAATGACTTTAATTCATATTTTATAAATTTTACTGTGAAATGTAAGGTATTGTGGATGAATAAAGATTAAATGATATTAAAATTATAAAGTCAGTTAAGTGAAGCAAAAGATTCATTCAGTGTGAAATGTTTCCTTCNTTCGGTTTTACGGATCCTGGTTCCAAATTAATATTCAAACATTTATGCTGTAAAACCAAACCCGATATTTTAAGTGCTTTAAAATATTTTTGAGTTTTAACTCTAAAAACTAAGAAATAAACTTTTTAGAACCTCACTGTCTAAATGTGTGATGTGTAAAAACCACTAGAGGGCGCACTTCACCACAGAAACGTACTGTACTCATAAATGAACGCGGTGATAATTATTCATTATTTAATAGGCCAAATATTAAAGTTAGACGTCTAATAATTAAAACATTTTAACTCAACAAATACAACTAGAAATTCATTCCTTCTTGTTTTACCAGGAAACTGAGACTAAAATGCAACTTAAAGTCATATCAGTGTTAGAAATAATTAGCAGTAAAATCCGCCAACACTAGGAGAGACATGAAAATCTCTCTAAGGAGCTGAATGCCATCAAAACGCGTCAGTGTCTGAGGTCACCACCTGATACAAAACGCAGAAATAGTTTCAGTTTCGATGACAACCCCTCCAGGGAAATTTAACCTGGATTTAGGTGACGTTACAGACAGATGTTTTTTGTCATTGGTTCAGATTCATGTTGACGCCCCTTTTAGATTCTAGATGAGCGAAATGCTCTGTGACCTTAAACTCAGTCTGTAAATGTGGACAACTGAGTTGGACCGCAGTTCGATGGTCAAGATGATGAAGTTTGTGTTTTTGCTTCTCGTGGGAATCCACAGCGCTGCAGCTGGTAAGTTAGAAACATATTTTTACTTTTATCTTGTTTAATTTGAATGGGTTAAATTATTATACATGTGATAATGTATAATAAAATAAAATCTAGTAAAGTTCTGGTTTAATGTGTAGACTAATAACCAAACAATTAGCTTAAAAAATGTCCCAAACACATATTTAACGTTTAGGCAGTTGATTTAGAAAAAAAAGCAGATTTAAGGGATTATTTGTTTTCTCTGTGTCATTTACTATTTAGTAGACCGTACGTGTTTTACAAAACGATGCAGGGAAGTCGGAAAGATATTAACTTGGAGAGAAAAAATCACTGGTCCAATGAAATAGGATATTTGATTAACAATACATCTGTTGTTTAACTTAGGAACATTGCACCTCATGCGATGTCGTGCAATTTTTTTATTTATTTGC